GCATTGACCCCCTTCAACGAGCACTGCACTGGCCTTTACTGAAGATGAACAGCAGACGACATGGCGTATATAATGTTGTATCAGCTCATAGGTATGTTTATTACATATAATCGATTACAAATAGTCATAGTTTTAGTGCGCAGCAACCATGGAAAACAAATGGTAAAGTATTGTAAATCGCACTTAATTCCCCCCCCCCCCCCAAGAAGTGTGTACTAATGAGCTGTTTAACAATCCAGGCTTCATATTAAAATAATTGTAATGGAAGTTATGAAACAGTTTCAATATTTTTACTTTATCTAAGGGCCCTGTTAGAAATGAACAAGACACTATGATAGAGTTAAGTGTGTGATATTTCTCACAACTAATATATCTTGAAAAACTAGAATTCATAAATAGTTGTATTTGCTTTACAAATGAACAGCGCCCCCAGTGTTCAACAAGTGAACTTTGTGTAGTCAAAACCAAAACATAATAAATACTCTGATACACAAAAAATAATTCTTTTTCAGATGGATTGGAAAAATACAATGATGGAAAATTTACGTGCATGGAGGAATTGATGGATTCTCCAGAGTCATTGTTTATCTGTTTGCTGCAAACAACAAATGGCAGTGACAGTGTTGGATGGTTTCCTGAAAGCAGTAAGGGAGTATGGTGTGCCCTCAAGAGTACGGTCTGATTTTGGCAAAGAAAATACTAAGGTAGCAGCATTCATGCTGACACACAGAGGAGAAAACAGGGGCTCTCACATTGTTGGTTCTTCCATTTATAATCAAAGAATTGAAAGATTACACCAAGACACATTTCGTTGCTGCTTGGAATACTATAGAGACATCTTCATAAAAATGGAATGCCAGGGTAAATTACACCCAGACAACCCAAGTGACGTATTTTGTCTTCATTATGTCTTTTTACCACGCATTAATTATTCCTTAAATATATTTCAAAAAGGTTGGAATGAACATAAACTAAGGACAGAAAAGAACTACAGTCCTAACCAACTGTGGCTTCGTAGTTTAACATTGCTGACAAATTCTGAAAGAACAGCTGTCAAAGAACTCTTAGATCCAACCACTATTGACTGTGCAACATATGGTGTTGAAAGTTATTCAGATGACACTAATTCTGAAGATTTCCACAATGATGATGAAGTACCTGCACCTACCTCAATGATTCTCAGCAATGAACAGCTACTAAATTTAAAAAATGCCATTAATCCTTTAGCATTTTTAATTTTATCTCGAAAACATAGTAAATGGGATGAATGTCCAATTGGCTTTTCTTAGATTCTTTGAAATATGACTTACAAATTTTCATTTGGCCTTGTTTTGTAGACATGTCAAGATATTAGTCAGTCACCATGTGCTATATGCATTGTATTATGGGACATCATATTGAACCAATAATTGGACATGAGCATTGTTATTACTATAAGTGCCTTACATTTAAAATGAACCAAAATAATTGGCCATTCCATTATATATCTACACCCTCTGGGCCCTGTTAAGTTTTAAGCATCTTTCCATACAGTTCTTGGTTTCACACACACTTTACATTTGTTTTTTACCATAAGTAAAATCCAAAGAACTGCCATTAAATATCTGGAATTCCAGGCCAGTTTTTACTCAGCAGTCTTGGAATTTGGGGGGAGGGGCTAGAAATTGGAATGTCCACTGTAAAAATTACATAACAAAATAGTAATCATAATAAAAAGCTGATCAATCCTTTCCCAGCAATAAACTATAAGGATACATTTGTTTTGTTTAACTCAATTCATAAAGACATACCCTTGCCATGAAGTGTTATGACAACTTTATTCACACATGTCCCAAATAGCATAATATAGAAAGGTACCATTAACTTTCAACATGGTTCCATAAATATAAAAGTGTATTCCTTTACTGGTGTAATTGAGTCTAAAAATTACCTAAATTGAGTTAAGATTATTTTACAAAACATATGGACTTAGATATAAAGACATTATGTAAAATACGTCTATGAATAAAAGAAAACAAAATACAATAGCACATTTCCTCTATTAGAAGTGTTTGTGTATGGTCAAAGTACAATATTTTTTCTTCTTACAATAGAAAGAAATAATTTTGGGTTTATATGCGCTTCTAAAAGAGGCAATACGGTATGGTATTATTAGGCAAGTACATGAGTAAACTATTGACTGTCGAAAGGTGAATTAAACTACAAATATTTCAACACATCTTGTTTGAATGAAAGTTTGGTTAAACCATAGTGCACACATAACCTGGTACTGTTAAGCAGCCAGATTCTCTTCAACCCAAACACAACACTCACCTTCAAGGGGAGAAAGGTCTTGATTAGCTTGCGTTCCTACAGTTCTCCTTGCATTATTACTATACAGTGATAAATTTTCACTTAATGCATGTTTGGCATTACGTATATCATGCTGATTAATGGTAAATAATCCCAGAGTATCATTCAGGTCTACGATACGCTCATCAATGCTTTCTTTAATATAATTGATTATGTTTCCACAGATACCAGCATTTTGCTTCAGTCGTATATTTAATGGAACACAATTAATAAGGCCAAATATGTCTTGCTCAACACCCTCAAATAAAAAGCCCTGCCTTGTCAACTTATTCAACAAAATATTCAGCAATTCCTCTGCTGTATAAAGCAGGAAAAATCCATGGCGCACGAAACCTTCTTAATAGACCCTCATTGGCCTTCAAGAGCCTTTCCATTTCCCACTGATATCCAGCCATTATAAATACAGGTGTATTCTCCATTGCATCTGCATTTAGATAGTGCATGATTGTGTTAATAATATCAATCCCAAAATCATTAGTTGACTTCCCTTTATAAAGTGAATATGCTTCATCAATAAATAAAATACCCCCTGCTGCAGATTTAATCTTCTGCTTTATTCTTTTCTCAGACTCGCCAACATAGGATGCAACAACATTGTCACGCTGTATTTCTACCATCTTGTTTTCTTTGATTATTCCCACATCATAAAGGCACCCTGTAAAGGTTATGGATAAATGTCTAAAATTCACCTAATCATTAGCATCAAATGACATCAAAATAGACCTGGTGTATTGACGTCATGAATAGTTTTGCAAACAAATATAAACATATACATGCAGTGAAATAAGCAAACAGGTCATCAATCAGATTCATACATGAGTGGACAGGCAGACAATGATAGAATGAAAGAAAACAGAGAATACTCAAGATATCACAATAGAATGAGCAAATCAAGCTAACATGTAGTTTATCAGTATGGTAGCATATTTTATTTTGGTTTTAAATACTTACCACTAAGCAGACGTGCAAACATGGTTTTCCCTGAACCAGGCGGACCATAAAATAATAAATTCAGTGGTTCTTCAACCTGCTTAGTCACTGAACTTCTTACTTTATTTGTTATTGTTCGAATTGCAAGTCGTTCAACTTTCTTCTTCAGTGAGTCCATACCCACTACTTCTTTTAAGCGTTTTGTGATTCTTCTTTGCACAAACTGTCTATTCAATCCTAACAGAAAGAAAAAAAACATAGAGACAACTTCAAAGCCTTGCCACTTGAACAGATAATGAATATATTGAGTGAGGGCATTATTTTTTAACGAAGACAGAGTTATACACTTTGAAGTGGGCGCTTTTTTGTAGAGTACGAAATGAACATGTTGTGGGTGGGCATTAGTTATTAAGCCATGGACAGGTAAGAAATGGAGTGGGCATGTAGTAAGGGGCAGGTAATGAAGACATAATAAGATTCAATTAGTGCATCACACAGGATTGGGGAGTGAAAAAAATCATTTTAACAGGATTAATTAGTTAATTAAAGAAGTAAATTGAAGATACTGCCAAACCTTCTTAAAATCAGACAATATCCTTTCTAACAAAAAATTAACAAAAACATTCAACAAAATTAGACCAGACATACACAAGACGATAAGATATCCAAACGAGCAGATTAAAACGGGTTATTTTTTGATAGTGAATTGAAGATAATGTCACAAAAAGAACAAATTTGATAGAGGTCTACCCAGGGTATATACATAGCAAGTATCAAAGCATTCTGGCTACCGGATTTGAAGAAGAAGTCGAAAATAGCATTTTTACTAAAAATTAGAGATTTGAAGATATCATCACAAAATGAACACATCTGAGAGAGGTCCACCTAGGGTACCTATATACGAAATATCAAAACAATTGGATTAGTAGTTTTTAAGAAGTCAAAAATGTAAACAAGCTACCTGGCAGTCGAAATAGCTCTGCTGTCTTCATTGTCGAAAATAACAATTTGTACCAAAAATGAAAAAAATATTCACTAAAAATCTAAATTTGCATATTTTGATACAAATTTAACAAATCTGACAGAGGACCACCCCATGTATCATTGCTGGAAATATGAAAGTATTTACACTTTTTCGGACTAGTTGTCGAAAATAAGATTTTTTCCCCCAAAATGACAAAAATATTCACTAAAAATCCAAATTTGCATATTTTGAGACAAATTTAACAAATCTGACAGAGGACCACCCCAAATACAAATATGAATGTAATTGGTCAAGTACTTTTGAAGAAGAAGTTGTTTAAAGGAAAACTTCACGCCGAACACGGACCCCACACCAACAACAGCTACGCTGTGTCATCTGCGATCAGAAATGTAACAAATCTGACAACTACACATCTAAAGAATTTTGATTAGTTTTGATCCAAAAGCTGAAATATTAACCTAAATAGGAATAAGGCGATTTATAGTGCAAATGAACAATTCAAAAGATAGCCATTGTAGGTATCAGTATGTAAAATATGCTAGCAATCTGACATGACACCCAGTTTGGACAATACTTTCAAGCTAATTGGGAAGGTTGACCTGGTATGAAACACAACGTGCATTTACCGATCTTGGCTTGTGCTGAACCAGTGGACCCAGTTGGCATGTGGCAAAATATGCATCTGATCAATCAGGACAGACTCAGCAAATGCAGGAAATACATTGATCTTGGTCCCGAACAAGAAAGTTTGAGTTGAAAGCCACTTGTTTTTTTTGC